TGTTCCTGCATGTACCCTACCATTGTTCTCTGTATAACTTTCCATATATTTTTTATTCTTTTCCCCATCTAATTCTCTATTTTCTCTATCTGTATTTTCCATTTTACCTTTTTTTTTCTGTTAAAATCTTTTCTATTTTTTTTCATGTTACTCCCCTGCGCCTATTCAAATTGTTAAAGGAGAGAGCCGAAAACTATAACACGAGAGGAGAGACGAAATATCCATATATCTACATGCCTCATTTGCGGATGTTCTGCCATATAAAAAAATGCAGACGCAGTATATATATTAGTTATTACAATATTCGTGGATGTGGATATACATGCGGATTCTCAAGTGTGCGGATATCCAATACATGACTTTTATATTCTATAAGAGCAATCAAAAATAATAGGTTTCGTATATACACCCTCCAACCTCTTTAACTATTTACCATCTTTCTCCACCTTTCCCACTTTCTCCCACTATCTCCCCTTCTCTCTCTCTCCTCTCTCTCTCTCTCTCTCTCTCTCTCTCTCTCTCTCTCTCTCTCTCTCTCTCCTCTCTCTCTCTCTCTCTCTGTCTCTCTCTCTCATTCTTTTTATGTCTCTGTTTCTCATACAGAGTTCCTCATTTTGTTCGAACCTGCAGACGTTCTCCCCTTTCCTTCGTGTCCTACTCTGCCCAGTATCTACTTGTGCTAATATGCTATAGTGATCGAAAAGCCAATTTATCCAACTGTTTCCTTATACTGTGAAAAAAAAAGTTTAAATAAATTTGTGACAAATATCTGTGTGTGTGTGTGTGTGTGTGTGAGAGAGAGAGAGAGAGAGAGAGAGAGAGAGAGAGAGAGAGAGAGAGAGAGAGAGAGAGAGAGAGAGAGAGAGAGAGAGAGAGAGAGATGGAACGGAGAGGATCAAAGAGAAGTCAGGGGAGAGATAACAGCAACAACAAAACAATAACAATAATGCTAATAATGATAATAAGAAGATTAGTAGTAATGATATTAACCATAGCAATAACAAGGTATGATATGCTTGTTGGTTGGTACGCAATAACCTGCTTATGATACTACAGAAAACGGGTAAAATCTAAAGGGATACGGGAAAGGAAAGTTTTAGGGTCCACTACATTTCTAATCAAGTTTAATTGAATATCTAAAGGCATTAATCTAATCTATATCTTCCCTAATATATCTTAATTCGTTTAATTTTATTTTTCTTTCCGTTTTCATTTTTATTTTTAGTTCTTTCATTTTGTATATTTATCATTTTAATCTCGCACATCATCTACTGGCATAATTTGCATCAATATGATCATCAGTACAACTGTTATTACGGTTCGTAGCGTTGATCCGCTATTCCTATATCTAGCGTGATCCCTTTCTGAATTTGTCTCTATTTTCATCCATTTCCTTCCTTCTTTCACCTGTATCCCTGTTTATCTTTCTCTCTCTTACCCCCTTCTCTTATTTTCTAATTGTGAGCTTAGTAATGCTATCAGATTGCACGGAGAGTGTGTTTTGCTACTCTAAGATATTCATGTTCGCGCATATTATAAAAACATAGTTAATTATCTCAAATAGGTTTGTAATTAACATAAATGTCTTTATAACTCCTGCCTTCGAAGATGGGGGAGGGAGTGGCAGGTGTTCAATATACTAGTACTTTTAATTTTATTTTCCATTCCGTTCTCCCAGGCATATTAATGAGATTATAGATTTTAGGCTTAGTTTCTCCAGTCTGAAAAAAAAATCTAACTGTAAAATAAGTAACACCAGACATTTTTTTTCTGTTAATTCTCAGTTCAAGTCAAAATCATGTTTGTTACCAGCTTGTAAAATATTGAATCAATTCAAAATTATTGGTCGAAGCCCCAGAGTGAGGAGGATATTGGTTGGTAGATAGAAAGATTGATAGAAAGATAGAGATAGCGATAGTGATAGATAGATAGATGGATAGACAGACAGATAGAGAACACAATAGAAAGAATGTGATAGTAAACAAAAACAAAGAGAGAAAGAAAAAATAGAAAAAAAAATCAATACCAGAAAATGGAGCCTATGTGTGATTCCACACTTGTCACAGAACAGTCTTGAATTTGGGTCTGTGAATTAATAGACCACAACGTTGAAATATCTATTACTAGCATTAGCATTATCCAATGCCATCATTACCATTAGCGTTGTTATTATCATTATTACCATTGCCATCATCACAATCTAAACATGTTTGAATTCACTATTAACGATAGGGGTATTATCATATCTCGTGATCATATTGTATATATTGTTGTTCTACCTATTTTTCCTTAGCCGAAAATAACAAGTAAACATCAAGCAACAAGTAAACTTCCTCAATGGTAAATTACTTAGTAAATTTGTTATTCCATTGTGAGGTAATTTTTCAAGATAACTATGTAACTATCTAACAGATAAGTGTATTTTTTCTGGGCGATATGCTTATTGAGACATATATATACATTTACTGATGAGTGCCAGTGTGAAAACATGAAGGGAAGAATATCTAGTGTACAAGGAGAGTAAGAAATCGACTGATTGGAAGATAGACGCAAACTTATTTACGAATATAGATAGATATATAAATAGAGATAGATAGAGTGAAAGACACAGAGATTGTGTCTGCCATTTGTATGTATATGCGCATGTGTTACATAAATATATTTTCTTTTTACGAAAAAAGAGAATAGAAATTCCTTTATCCTCAGTCAGAACTATTATTATCAATACTTAGCATATATATATTCTGTACATTTTGTTTCTAACATATGGCAAGCATTAGACTAAAAAATCGAAAACAAACTTGTCGCTGAGTATAAATATCAAATGGATATGGAGAAAGTGAGAGGGTAACTGTTACATAGCTAGACATATAAACGGGCATAAATAAATGAGCGATCATCTACTCATAGAATCGTTACTAGTACCTTTCGTTTGTTTTGTTTCCAAGCATATACCCAAGTAACTTATTCTTTGTCTTGCCAATTCCGCTAATGCCGGGGAAAACAGCACCATTTTTCCTTCGTTTATTTGGGTTTCGTATATCCATATAATGAATTTTATTAATATCTGCTTCTCTTTGCCAATCGGGTTTTGATATTACAAATGTAATACTTGGCAACCGTCAAAACTACAACTGTTCGAGAGCGGAAAACTTAATCCAGTTTTAATTTTCACTAAGAACATCAACTAATATTACGTAAAAACTGAATCATTAACAGCACCTAAAATCAATCAAACTCCGTAGCACCAAGAAAATGAATGAAAGAAAGTGGAAAAATACTCGTAAACATATACACAGAATTCCATGTGTCCATTGTCAATGATAAAAAAGTATAACTATACTACTGTAAACCACATAATATTCTTTCCTAAGCAAGAATGTTCAGACGAACTTTACTGGGCAGTCAAAGATTGATTACTTTGAAGTGTGCTTAGAAACTATCCCAATAATTAACGATATCAAAATAAATTGTTAAAGAACAATTTCATTTGTTCAATTAAAATCTAATTTTATTTACTTAATTGAAATTTACCAAAAGAACACAAGAAAATATCTTTTTGTGAATGGCCTTGAAAACTGTGCATCGATGCATCTAGATTCGACCTTGTGGTGTGCACACGTGTTTGCGTTCCTTTGTATGTAAATATAGAACAGTTTACTGAAGATATTGGTCAGGATATGTTTTATTGTAGAAAATACATTTAATTATATTTGATAGTGTTGTTTAATAGATTATTTGATATTTGTATTGATATAATTTTAAACCAATCTTGAGGTTTTTAAAAAAGGAAAACGTTCATATATTACAATAGAATACCCGTAAAGAAATCCGTTTTCTGAAATACCACCCACAACCACAGAAAACGTAAAAAACATCATTTTACGCAATATTCTGCAACTCTACAGAGGCAAAACTCAGTATAAAAGCCAAATCGCGACCTCGGAAAGCCCCGGAAAGAGAAGGAAAGGAAAAAAGCCAAGACTCGACCACGAGATCCCGTTTCCGCAGCTCATAGTGGACCTTCCGGACCGCCCGTGCGACAGCGTTTCTCCCTCGCCTCCCGAAATTCTATCCAAATTTACGTGAATAATGGCTGATAGCGACTGGGACACCGTTACTGTGCTTAGAAAGAAGCCCCAGAAGGCCTCCCAGCTTAAAAGTGAGCAGGTAGATATGTAGTGTAGAGCGTTATAAGCTGGAAGTCAGCCGTGGAACCGAAAGCAACGTGATTCTTTTTCCAGACAGTTTTTTGGAACTATTTTGCAGTCCATTTTTCATCGCCCTTTTTCGGTAACTTATTTACACTGTTTGTTTTTTTCCTCATTATTTTTGTGGTAATTATTGTGATGTAGAAGGCGAGGCCAAAAAAGGGGTGTTTCCATGAACTTGGAACTTTTTTCCGTAAACCTGAATTTTGTCTTGTAATTTCCACACAGGATTTTGCCTCCACAGCAAAATTGTTGTATGAAAGTTATTAGATTTAAAAGATTTCACCTCGCAGGGGGTGAAATAGGAAGAATTTCACCCCTTGTGGCCTCCTTACATCACGGCAACTAAGAGTGTGTTTCACCATGTATAAAATCAATGCAATTCCAACCCCCAATGGCTCCTCTTTTCACACCCTTCTCTCCCACTTTTCACTCCTGTGTGATATTATTTCACTCTTTGTCCACTTTTCATCCTGATATTCATACCCACTTTCCACTTTTTATTTCTGCATTTACCATTTTTCTTTCAGATGCTTCTTTTGGCACTTTCTTCCTTTCTTCTTTCTGTTTGTGGGATATTTTACTATTCTCTCTGTGTGATATCAAAGGTCTCAGTTTCATTTCCAGAATTTTGGGTCATTGAGTTGTTATGAAGCAATTTGAAAAGTAGAAAAACTTTCAAAATCATTAGCATTAATTCAGTATGGATGGGTATAATTTTTAGCTTTTGTATTTGCCCCTTAACACTGGGTGATTGTCTGGCGTGGGGTAAGATGTGGGAAACCTCTTCGTAACAACTGGGAAAATGACCCATAATGATGGAGCATCACTTTGCGTCTGTGATTATTTACAGTGATATAGTATCGCATCTCCTCACTCCAATGAGGTATGATTGAAAGAGTAAAAAGATTGAAAGAGTAAAAAATTTAGATATAAGTACTGTTCTCTCTGTTTCTGTATATATATTTAAACTTTTATACTTCATTTATGATAAAAGTGGTTTAGCATGTTTTCAGATCAATCATTTTATACTAAATAGCTGATATAAAGATCAGAGACTTGACACTTTTCAAAAATTGTGTGACTGAGATTTGGTTAGTGTTCAGGAAAGAATTGTGTGAACATTAGAAAAAGAGTTGACATAGGAACTGACATGATACACATTTCAGTATGAATTAACCCCTTGGAAGTGAGTGCCTTGCTTTGGTATTTTGACATAAAATAGGTCTACGTGAATCGCGACTCTCCCCAAGTGTAGACCCATCCTACATGAACATGCACATAATGTAATGCTTTTAGCTCTTATTCTGCAGTTTTAGTTTTGCTGTTTTATATTTGCTGAGGTCTACATGTGTCATTTGCAGTGCTACATCAAGAGCATGCTTCATATCATCTGTCCAGATAGTTTACACTGTGTACAATATCAGTAATAAGAACTATTGTATTATTTGAGATATTTTGTTAATTTTGTATTATTCAGTTTTCCATAACACCCTGTGCCGCAGGTAACTACAATGTTCTGCATGGACATAGTGTCCTCTCTGGAGCCAGCATTCTCCCAGGCATAACTCACACAGTACACTCCACCTTCATTTATAAGTGGAAATATTTTAGGAGTCCTTTCCTAAAGGCCCACAAGTCATTCTCCCTTCCAAAGCTTTGTGCATGTATGGCGATATGTCCTATCACTTGGGAACAGTTTCCCATGGCAAAACCCGTCACCCTGCCCTTCAGCCAAATTTTCCCTTGAAAAGACGTACATGTCACCCAACATTCAGACTATTTTTTTAAAGATGAAAATATCCCATCACCTGAATCCAATGTGCTAATAGCACAAGTGAAGGTGTAAATTACAAATTAATAAGGGTGCATAGTAATATGCTGCTGTACTGTGATCAGATATATATATATATATATATATATATATATATATATATATATATTATATATTATATATATATATTATAATATATATATATATATATATACAAATACATATACATATACATGTACATATTCTGATGATAGAGCTTGTCTTTCTCTTATTTTTTTTGTTAAATAAAGAATCAGGCTAAACTCTGTGCCTTGCCAAAAATGTTAATAAGAAAATTGTGTACGACTGCTAGTGTTGTTTTACAGTTAGGAACAAAAATAATGTAGAAAATAGTCACACAGACTTCCATAAGGAGATTTTTCCCATGTACTTAAATTGTTAACACAAAATCCAAATCCACTGTCAATGTACAGGGATTTATGAAGGATTTATAAGGCCAGCCAAGGATCCAAGGATCTGTGATATATTTGTACAATCCTAAGTCCAGCCTGTTAGTGGCACAGTAACCAGGAGTTCCTGTGTTCTGGCAAAGGCCAACAAATCTCCCTATGTATTCTGGTGGGAGAGAACTTGAGCAGGATTAATATTGAACAGTGACTTTCCAAGTACGTTTACAAACTCTAATCATGCCAGATTAAATGTTGTGAAGGGTTGTTGGCCATTGCTAAAGCGCCAACAGATGTGGAGGTTTTATTGTTTAGCAGTGGCCACAAACCACCAAATATAGGAAAAATATAAGCTAATCTTCAGAATAGCCCATTGTAGATAGTAATGTTGAAGAAGCCTTTTGTAGATAGCTGTGTTAAAAGAGAGAAGAAATGAAAAAATCACTAAGCAGATTAGATTAGAAGTGCTCTTTAGTATGGTGGTAAAAACAAAACTTCTGTGCTGTATGTCTCAACTTCTACTGAATTCTTACGTGTATTGATTTGCTAGGCATTAGTCGTACTGAAGTCTTGTGTGTATTGATTTGCTAGGCATTTGTCAGAAGCGGAAAGTCTTAGATAGCTGTGTAGAGCTTTGCAGGCTTGCTGGATTCACTTCATGTATAATGGGCAACCAAAAAATGTTGATAGATTTTATTTGTTTATCAATTTCTTTTTCAAGGAAAGTAGCAAGGATGAATCATCTAATACTCTGTTTAAGAAATCATAAATTGTTTGGATTTCAGAAGAGCAACTGGAGAGTGTATACAAGATATAGACTTTTCAACGCACTAGCTTTTGGTAGTAGTTTCAGCATAATTTACTAGTTCTCAGTCTTCTTTCATAATATGTTGTTTGGTTGGATTTGGGAGGTGGCATCCCCATACATAGAACGAAGGGGTAAAGCCTCCTTTAAAAGATACCTTATATATGTTAATACAAAATTATATTTTCATGCAAGTTCATACTGTGTTAGGTACAGTATAATAACTTCATACAGTCATTTGATCATCATGCTGATGCAACTTCC